GGATACCCTTCTCACATATTTTAGTTTTGTTGCGGGCAAAGAAACTTCTTGCGATATTATTTGCAGTGGCCTTTTTATGAAGAAGATGCACCTTCGGGCATTAAAATTTAGTGACCTGTCCAGTCTAACAAGGTCTTTAGTACCGCTAGGATCAAACATATCTCTGACAACAGAAATTACATAAAATATCATGTTACAAATGACCAAAGTATCCCCTGGTAATATAACATCACATGCCGAGTACACAAAGTCATATCCCTTCTCAACTTTTAATGTGCCTGACCCTTTGTATTGAGGGTGTTGTAATGTATCACCATCAACTTCAATAGTGCGAAGAGCAAAGTTATCTGGTAAGGTATCATCTTCACCCAGATTTGACCCATCATAAGGTATCAAACATTTCATATTGTCCCCTTTATGTTCAATAGAAAGAACAAGCTGGCCCATCGAGATTTCAATTGAGGTACCCTGAGGTAGTTCATAAACAAAATTCTCTACGACAGCATAAAATGGAATATCTAAAGCGGGTATCTCTCCAATACTTCATTGTCCGAGAACCTGGAAGCCAGTGACTTCAAGAATACAAGTTTGGAAACCTCCAAAGAAATTACTTTCTGCTGCGGACTCTCTGAAGTCAGACGAAAAAGATTGCCGTCTTTTAACTTTCGGTTAAATTTCCCCTCAAAAAATCGTACCTGATTTCGGTAGAAGTCTTCTAGTTGCTTTAAGGAAGGACAAATTTCCAGTTTATTTCCCAAAGGGGAAGTACACTCGCCCGCCATTAAACAATATAAGGCCATAAAGCGCATGCGTACAACGAACTACGCTGTGCAGTAAGTACATGCGCCTGCAATAAGGCTGCAAAGGTTATCGGTCTACCAAGTGAGCTTCAGAATCGCAGTGGTCAATACCAATGTGTTCTAGTAATATGAATTTTTTCTGTGTTGGTGTTGTGTACTCAGGTGAATAATAAATAACACCAACACAGAAAAAATTCATATTACTAGAACACATTGGTATTGAAGGAACTAGATACTGTTCCGAAATATCACTTACTCGAACCGTCCTGACCGCGTAGCTCAGTTGGAAGAGCATTGGGCTAGTATTCCAAAGGTCGTAGGTTCGAATCCCACCATGGCCGGGCATATTGTTCAAGCTTGCCCGGTGTGGATATGCACTCAGAGTAACATCGCAAACAAATTAAATATTAATTATGATCATTTTCAGTGCTTTCATTTGTCATTTATTTAAAGTTTATGCAATATTGCTGTCTGCTCTTTGACCTCTTTGTTGTCTAGCAACTGATACCCTGCAGAATTAGCTAATTTCCATGCAATTTGTTGCTCGCTTGCACAATTCGTGAATCACATGTCTCGTGTTCCGCTGATTTTCATGTGGTGGAATATGCAATACTATCTTAATCAATCTTATACAAGAAATTCTGGTTTCTGGTTGGATAATTGGCGCAGCGCATGCGCAGAATGGTTGTTTTTAATGCCGAAGTCCCGCTATTTTATGAAGGCGGAGGTTGTTAATATTCAAACCTTTCTGACAAAGCTTTCTGCGCGAGTATTCATGACTGTGACGGTGGTAGGTCATCCATATCATATTTGATATTGCTTTTGTGATTTGTATACAATGGCTTCAACAAGCGTGACGAACCTTATGGAAAGCCATAGCAGAATTTCATTTCATTCGGTGCTTTTAGCATTATATATGTGGTGCTTTTATCTATATACGAGGTGCTCTCTACATTATACAAGTTGCTTCGAGTTCGAGCATTATACGCGATGATTTTAACATTATATGTTGGCTACACGCAACATTATACAAGGTGCTTTTAACATTATATACGCGGTGCTCGAGATATTTCATAATATACGCCATGCTTGAGACATACAAGGTGCTTTTAGCATTATATACGGTGCTTGAGACATTATATGCGATAACTTGAGCATTGACTGTACGCAGTGGTTTTTTCATTATACGCAGTGCTGTAACTACTTGCTGTGATTTCAACATCATACGCGGTGCTTGAGACATTATACGAGGTGCAGTGATTAATTATTCGTTGTGCTGCAGACTCAGTGCAGAGGGCAATATTTTTGCCCAACACAGCACTTCTCTGAGCTCACATAGATCTTCTCTGAGGCGTCTCTGAGGCGACAAAGGGAAAATACTCCTGTTAGAGGTGTATGGAAACTTTGTTTAGTGACATCCTTACCCTCGAAATCGCAGGAAATGCCATTTCCGAGGTTCTAGATTTCAAATTTTCTCGGGGGGGGGCATGCCCCCGAACCCCTCTAGGAAGGTTGCACCTTCGGTGTGAGGGGCCCGCTTTGGCGGGACAATTTTTTTAGCCAGCTATGCCACTGGATGTTAGTGAAGTTTTTCCAACAATTTAATTTCCTTGATCGCCGTCTTAAAAATGCAAAATCATAAGTTGAAATTTCACTCGTGTTGTTTTTCAAATTTTCGAATTTTTGTAAAATATCACGTGTGCCAGCAATATCTCTGCACAACGACAACAAATTTCCCATTTTGCCAATAGACTTCGCTTCACTAACTCTCATGAACAACAACAGAATCTTATGCACGTGATAAGGCCGGATGCGACGCCGATTAAGTTGCTGGTGGCACACGTTGACAGTATATCAATTTTCCGCGATGTTGTTTGAAATTTTATCGCATTGATTTTAGTAAATTTTAAATTAAACAGAATTCTGATGATTTGTCAAAAAGCTGTTCCTAAGCTAAGCAATCTCAAACTCTTTTGCAGGTGATATTTTCCATAAATGTGAGTCTTGGACGGTGCAGAACAAGGTAAACATTGGAGGGCGAAAACCCTACGCAGCAATGATTCCAACCATGAATGGCTAAAAATGTTTGAATATTATGCGGATATTTCCAAGATTGTTCAAATCTGAATAAACATTTAGTCAAGATAGACGTCTGTTGGAATATTGTCTATATAATAATGGAGATTGCCATTCAAACCGATGTTTGGCACAGATGCCGGTCAATATGATCATGTCTACTTCCCAGGAAAAATGGAATCTTTTAAGATATATATGCCCTATTGCTACAGTGTATGTGTCTGTACGTGATATTTTTTTATTGGTGACGTTTTTAGTCAATTTTGAGGTGAGTAGCGATGTTTGTTGCAACGTCTTGGTTTAATATGGCTATCGATCATCACAGGTTATCGGGCGACATTGTTATGATTTTAATGAACTTTGCAATGCTGTATCTCAAAGGCAATAAAAAGTACCAAACTATTTTTTGTTCAGGAGTTAAATAGAACTCTTCCATCTGTCATAGCTAAAATATTGAGTCGAATTGACCTATACCGCAGATCGAATTTCAACTTAGAAAAACTGTCCTAAATTAACATTTTTAGTTCATGAAATATGACCTGTTTTGGACGGCTCCCCAGCAAGCCGGTAATACATGCACTGCAAATATTTTTGTATTAAATTACTTGTAAACACCTCATTAGTGTATTTCTGGGCGCTTTTTGACCATAATTCGTATGGCGATCGAGCGACAAACAGTTATGTTCACTTCAAATAAGGCAGTCCACCCGCCATCTTGATTTGCAACATTTAGCGGTCAAAATAACCAGGGCTAAAGAAACCCATCACGTTTATTGGTTTGCTGTGGACTATCTTTGGACAAAAAAATGAGGATGGGTGATTTCTCGAACTTGTGCTGCACTTCACCCACTCCTTACTGACATCTGCTCTTAAAGGCTTTAAGATGTCAAAAACTGGTACAAGAGTTAGTGTGTCAACTTTCTCAGGATGCAAAACCGCACAGATGACGAGAGTTCAACAAGAAACGTAAGTCGAGTTAATTCTGAGTTGAAGAGTTTATGCACCCGAGGTAAACTGACATTCATTGATCATTCCAACATATCATGTAATGAATTAAATAGGAGTAAATTACACCTGAACAAGGTAGGAACTAAAGTGTTGTCAAGTAATTTTATTAAACATACATACAGTAATTCAGAATAGGATGATGCCATGTGAGAGTCCGTAATGGGACGATTGGCTAACTCTCGCGAATGATGATTTGGCATCGACCTCGGGTGATCAAACGGTTTTCTGCATGTAGGAGGTTCCGAAATAGGAAAAGTTAATTATTTTACATCCAGCACTCTGGAAAAGTGCAAGACTATCCTAGCAGCAAGGAAAGAGGGAAACTTAAAGTACAAGGATACCCAGCTTCCTGATGGTAACCAAAACTTAGGGATTTCATATAGAGTGTTAGTGAAGATTCATTGCCCTGTTGGAAACTAAAAGGAAAAGTTTCCAAAACAAAACGAAAGACGCTAGTTATGCTCCCTTGACACGTTCAAGAATTCCAACAGCAATACCAAAGGTTCAAGTGGAGTGTTTTCAAAGATATGTATTTTTTGCTTGAAAAAGGTTAAGAAGCATAAGAATTCAATGCAGAAACAGCCTCCACAGAAAACTTTCAAGAGAACATAAGGATGTATGCTTGTTGGTTAAACGATCAACCTATGTTATTGAGAATTGGTAATTAGGATTTTGTTAGTAAAGAAATCTATTATCATGGTATATGTCGGGTCAGTCATCAAAGTAGAGCGGAAAATACCCATTTTGCAATACAAGAGAAGAAGGCACATGAATTGGACAAGCCTAAACCTGAAACATTTTGGCATGTTTCAAGAGAACTACACTGCAAAGCATTTGGAGCGATCTGCTGCAATACTAATGAGAATGTTCTTGAAGAAAGAGGTTTGTTTTACTTAATGACCTAAACAGCCAATACAATATGCTGCTGGCAGAAATAGGTGGTGAAGATTATGAAGATGTTGAGTCGAATTCCACCAAGCTAGAAAAAAGTTAGTACAGCATTATAAGGAACGAATAAAAATTATTAAAGGAAAGACAAGGCGTGGTAACCTGGTATTCATCAGTGAAATCTTGGATGAAGAAGCATTTAGAAGAGAAAATTTAATGAAATCTAAGATAAAGGCCAAGATTCGGGACGTAGCGTTTGAACTAAGACAATCGATTATAGATGCCGAGAAATTAGCAATGTCAGATGAAGTGAAGCTTGCTGATATAATAAGAGAAGTTGAAATTCCTGATATATTGTTGGATTTTTACACTTACCTCATAGGTGGTCCTGATCAAAGAATCGCAACGGAAGCAGAGAAAGATTAAATCAATATGTGATAATGTCATCTTTTCAGCAACCTCAGGAAGAAAGACAAAGCATTTACAGTTGGGGTTATCAGTGAAAAGTCTAACTGGAAGCAAAAAAGTTATTAAGATTTTAAATCACTTTGGTCACTCAATCGGTTATTCTACAATCAAGGACTAAAAACGGAATTGACATTTCAATCACCCAAGCAAGAAAACCTAACACCCAACAGAATGGTATTAAGTCAAAATCTTGGAACGGGGGTCGCTTTTGACAACTTTGACCGATTTGTAGAAACTTTGAGTGGAAAAGACACATTGCACGACACGGTTGGTATAGCTTATCAAATTGTATCAGAAGAACCGACAGTTGAAGAAAGTAGTGAACCTGAATATGTTTGTGTGGCTGCATCTAGGAAAAAAAGGCGAAGAGCTTTTCAAACAACTGGGTTAGATATAGAACCATACAGGAAACCTAGAATGTTAACTGTTCCAGTGCTTCCCCTTGATGATCCGAGAAGGACGTTTGAACCTGAATCATATCTCAATGCAAGAGCATACGATTCTTTATGGATGATGAATTTCTGTTTTTCACCAAATGATACACCTATGTGGGTTGGATGGAATGCAAAAGTTTTTCCCAATAAGAAAGAATTACAAAAAGTTTGGTACGTACCACAAATCAATCAGTCACCAACTCCTACTGCTGTAGTTGCAGAAACAATGCGACATGCCCAAGGAATTGCCAATGAAAGCAAAAAGGAAAGCATTTCAGTGACCTATGATCTGGCCATCGCTAAAGTTGCAATGCAAATTCAAGCCAAGGAATCACCAAGGAATCACCGCTTTAAAGCGTATTAGACCATATGTAACAACTGACGCGGCCATTCATGTATACCGAGCGTTGATACAACCACATTTCAACTATTGTTGCTTGGTCTGGGATGTATAGGTCAAATACTAAATTCCAAAATACAAAAGCTGCAGAATAGAGCAGCAAGGATTGTTATGCAAGCGAGTTATAATGACCCCATGCCCCCTCCCCCAGAAAATGTTTAAAATTTGGATCTCTGAAGCCAATTTACAGTATTCTGAGAGCACATTTTGTAAGAAATTCTAGGTTTTCAAACCATTAAGTTAATGGCGAATTTTGGTATAAATCATGTGGTAAGCATAAAAAACGGTAACCTGAGCTTGCAGTACATAATAAAAATATAAACCAGAGAAGTGAAAGAACACCTGAAAATTCCTATCTATAGAATAGACACTGTATAGTCCATAGTAAATTTGATACAATTAATTGCTATTGTTTTATGAACACGCAGAAGATACTCTATATTATATATGCATGTATATCATAAATTTAGAGCCTATATACTGACGTACCTGGACTCGATTAAGGTTACATCAATTGATAGATTACTGTTTCAGAAAAATTGTCACTGCATGCTCAATTTTTTAGTTATGTTCCTCATATTTGGTACATACAATGATAACAAACTGTAGAAGCTACTGTTTTAGCCCAAATTCACCACCTTTTAACCTGTAGTCGCAATGAGACATCTTTTGAAAAATAGCACCTCATACGCCAGGAGATTTAACGACAGACCATTTAACTCAGGAGCTCCCAAAATATCTTATTTCAAATGTACAAAGAAGAAAAGTGTGTTCGAATTTTTTGACAGCTATTGTATTCACTTTGATATCAAGCAGACAACTTGACTTATCTTGCATGGGTATAAGCGGTTGAATAAACGCTTCTAAATTGAAAAATAATGCACTAAATCGAAAACACAAACACATTTTTGTTCCTTTATTGTTAACATTGTGATCAAAATTTGGGATGAATCAGATAAAATACTCTGTAGTTAAAATCTTTTTTTGTCGAGGAGATTGGGTAATTTTGCTTTGTCTTCAAACAACTACATAAGATTTGTCAATTTCTGTCATTTTCTCCACCCCCCCCCCCCCCCCCCCCCCCCCCC